CCATTTTGGGATGCGAGGTTGGCAAGTTTTTATTATATGCAATTATGTACAGGTACAAAACATTGATGCTACCGAATAGATTACATAAAAGATATCTTCACTAAATTACGTTGAGTTTCTTTATCAATCGTTCATTATACAATTTGAATGTTATTTTGTATAAAGAAAAATATCAAAGCGTATTTACATTCCTAGAGTGTTGACAAAGAAAGTTTGTTTGACAGTTAGTTATTGATATTGACATCGAACTGTTAGCTGTTTCCAAGGTGATCCCCTCCTTTCTCGGCCGAAGTATACACAATTAAGATGTACAACTTTAGCAATAAATAGACTCGTACAATTACTACAACCGAATACTATTTTGCAGTTTTGGTATATTTCGAGACTTCTGCTTGCTAAAACTTCATCAATTCTTCCTAACCTGTGAGACGTCTCATCGAGGCCTTAGAGTTGTGCGGGCATTTTGACGTTCATCTACTCACGAATGTAGTGTAGCTCGTCATATGTTCTCTCGATAGCCCAACCTTCACACTTGAGGCCTTTCATTGACTGTCGTAGATCATTATCATTTAGACGCTTGGAGTGCACACATTTCGATTTCAGTGAAACCAAATTTCATTATCTTGGAAAATATGGTGATAGATGTATACTAAGTAAATACAAAGTCTGCGTAAGATTACGCAGATTATGACGAATTATTCAGAACGTGGGTACTATTGATGGAAGACGCTTCGATACAACACGGCGTACATCATTCAACTTTTAATTAGTCCAGCACGAAAATCATTCGTTAACTATACTTCTTTCTCTAGTACGCAAGTCAAAAGGAATACAATCCCAGAAATAAGGCGAGCTTCTAGCCATTACGTTGGTGGGAATATTTAATTTCCACATTTCAACATATTTTAATTAAGATTGATGGGATCTTGTCTATTTTCTGAAGCTAATTGCTGAAGCAAGAACATAAAATAAGCAGTAATAAGCTTAGACTCATTTTTGGTGAAGCAGGTTACATAGATAAAACAACAGTGGACTGATGCAAAGAATGATTCAAAGAATTCCCATCAGTTTGGGAAATAAATCATTGGCAGATTCCAGCATTTGCGTTAAAATAATCTTAGGGAGGTTTTTAGGCTTTCGTCTTGAATGCCAGCCAGTCTATGTGGAAACAAAAGCTTTTTGTTTTTTACAAGTGTGCTAAGGCAACAAACTTAATGAGTCACATTAGACTGATTTACATTTTCGAAGAAAACTCGAAAAATATGTTTTCAAAGCTTTATGCCAAGAAAATAATTTAATTTATACATTCTTATAAATAAGAATATGAAAAGTTTCCCAATGTTTTGTAGGTCGTACTATCGGTATATATTGTAATAACCATTAACAAGGCTCGTGTATTTCAATCAAATCTAATTTCAAACCTGCTCAGACGCACTGCTACCGCTACAAACTATGGCTACAAATCTGGTATATTTTAAATTTGACGTTCTAAAATGAGTCAGATATATAAATCTTTACAATTAGAACAGTTAAACGTGTACATGCTTACTCTCAAACAGGAATCGATTAATTTATTTCAAAGACACTTCAGAGTTTGAGTACAAATTCTTCATTGTTCAACGATGCAAGCATGAAAATTCAAATTTTTTGTAAAACTGTCTGATCTTGACTTGCATTCTGAGTTTGATGATATGCATTCAGTTGAGTTTTTTCTTCAATTTTCTCTCCTCTCCAAAGACATAGAATCTTCAGCATTCCTCTGTTGTAGGTTTTCAGTCGGAAAAGCCAAAGTAACGGTAAAAACACCAAGGGTAAATATGAGAAAGGAACGCTAAAGAGAGCCGCAAGGCTCAAAGCATCCGAACTCACATGATGAAGAAAAATTAAAAAAATTACGGGGCTAGGGGCTGTTGTTAAAGTGAAGAAAACAACGTGTACAAAAAGCGTCATTGCGATCCTCTGATTACGATAGTCCACAGAATGTTTTATGCTAACTGTATACAGCTTTCTCCGACGTAACGTCCACTTTACTTTGTCGCTTTTAGTGTACAGTGATCGAAATATTCTATAGTAAATAATCGCAAATGTAATAGATAACATCACGATCAAAGCACACGTTATTGTAATAACTGCTGTAGCAAGATCTTGTTGCTTGCTCTTTGGTAAAACACTAACAGGAATAGCAACAACGAGGAATGTTACCAATGTAGCCAGTGTAAGACTTTGCACCAAATATTTTCGTATTTTTGGTGCTACTATCATGTAACGCACAGGAACAACAATGGCACCGTAAGTATTAATTGTATGGAAGAGATTACCGAAAATATACAAAAATGACGAAACTATTTTCACGTAAAAAATTAACTCTGTGGAAGCGTTCCATCAAACCAGTTTACCAAGTTCTCAACAAATGAAACACAAGTCAGGCTAAGATTCGTAAAGGAGTTGAAGGCCAATAATATTGCTGTAATGGTTCGCAACTGCTTGAACGGGTCTTTGATAATGACGACAAGAAAGAGGCCGTTGACAAGAATACCTATCAGAGACAATATTACCACGAAAGTTGCAACAATATTCTGTTCAAGATTGTATCTTGATGATAAAGAAATAAGGTCAAACACGATTATGTCTGTTGTTGAGTCGTTCGAGTTTTCTGCTGTTGAATTCATCTTGAAGTGGTTGTACTCCATCGAAGTGAAAATCTACGATGGGATGACCTTTCTCGAATCGTTTTCGTATTTACGATTTTCTAAACCATCCAAAGTCTTCTTGTACCTGCTGTATATTTTGTTCGTGATTGGTTTATATGAGTCGAGCACCGTTTGCTTGGACGAAACAATGTGCGAAGCTCTTCAATTGATATAAAGTAAGCTGTAAGCTGATATATATTGCGCTTGGAAGTATATAACGATTATTCAAAATAATGATACTGGGCATGAGTTCTTTGACGTTAATGATGAGACTTCCGCGGTGTGGGAGACTTAAAGCATATATTGACTTGCTGTTAAGCCCGCTGCACGCTGGTGAACTCGAACAAGTGCACGAGGCAAGTACACATGTGTGCGGTTGGCTTTAGAAAGTGCAAATTATAAATTTGTGCAACCGCCCCTTAATAAGATACGAAAATACATAAGATACAAAAAAATATAATGAAAGATTTCGTTAAAAGATCACATGAATGAAATTGCTAAATTAACTGGTACGGTTAAATCGGGACGATTTTGCAGACAATAAGAAAGTGTTCATTATTTTTAGACTTGGTTCAAAAATTAAACTAATTAATTATTTAATCAGACATTTTTCTTTGGCGAGAAACGTTTGTATGAACAACAAACAAATCTTAATATTACTTTATTTAACATATTTATTTGAGACGCCGTGTGAAGAAAGTGTTGGGCTCGTATTATTTTTCAAATTGTATAATCTGCACACAAAGAATCGTTAATAAATGTATACGTACATGAGCTTTGAATGCTATTTGAAGACCTAAAACTCTTTCTGCAATCATCACATATTTTTATTCAGTGGCAGATCAACGGTAAGTCAAAAATAATTACTGCAGCACATTTTGGCATATGCTTCCATTTCTAATCTCCTTAGATGCATACCATTGGTGAAATTATATTCTTTAGCAATTCAAAACCAAAAGTGTTTTTTGAAAGTACTTTGAATTTAAAATTAAGGAGCTATAATTTATTTTGACTAACGCTGGATCTGCTCCTGGTTTGATTAAGATTCACTATCATTTCGCAGCCTAATAACTCCACAGTTTTTCGCGAGGAGAGAGATTTACTCCAATGTTTATTATTGCGAGGAGAGAGATCTACAGACATGCCCCAATGTTAAAATTAACTGTTGTGAATACTCAAACCATATATGTATATTCAAACGTGGTGGGTAATTTGCGTTTCCTGCTGTCAAATATAGGGCAATTTTTCGTGTAAATAACGAGCTTTAATTCCCTAACCATACATGCCGCATGTACACACTACAATATACACTTTTGAAAGAACAGAGGTAACTTTTTATGAAAAAATAACAATCGCTAGTATGGTACTTCATAACGTATTATTAACAGTGATATTGTATACTGTTGTGTGCAAAACGTGTACCCGATTAAATTAGGGTGTAGATAAAAAGCGGACCCGGACGACGGACGCGGACGGCGGACGGCGGACGCAAAACGCGCAAATAAAATGCTTTTAGTCCGTTGCATGTGCCTTATCGTATTAAACTTAGATTGAAGAATGAGCATGAGATTATCCTTCGGGAATTCGGCATAATTTTCTAGACAAGAGAATCTATTTTGGTGTTGTCATATAGTTAGGTATTAACAAAAATTATTTATTATTCTGCTGATCTCTGATGTTTTTTAAGTTTGACTTAAATGCAGTGCAAACAAAAAGGTCACCTCAAAATTAAGTTTCAAATAAATTATGTCGAAGAAGATGAACGTATAACATTAAATATACAATTTCAAACTCTTCACATATTTTGGGTTCATTGCCTATTCATTTCTGCATAATTAAGTTTTTCAAAATTTAGCTGGAAATATCATCGTACAATCATTAAAAACAGAGCTGCACGAAACTGTTTCAACTGTTTGAATATACCTATGTCTCTTAAAAGCATCATTTAGTTTCATTTTTATTTTAGCTTTTTCAATGTTTATTTTTCGACGTAGAATAAGAGTATTTTACGAAAGGACTAAAAGCATTTTATTTGCGCGTTTTGCGTCCGCCGTCCGGGTCCGCTTTTTATCTACACCCGATTAAATTAGGCAAACTTTGCGAGTCAATTGTATATTATAAACATCTCCTTATTTTTGCGAAAAGCCTTCATTGTTCTGCCAAGGCGTGAATAATTAAATTCTTTGTATAGCTAGCTTATCTTGACTTGCCATCGAACTTTGATAATTTGTGATCAATTGATTTTCTACTTCGGTTTGTCTTCCTTTCCAGAAATATAAAATCCTCATCATTGCTCTGTTGTAGGTTTTCAGCCGGACAAGCCAGAGTATCGGTTAAAACACCAATGGTAAATGTGGTATAGGAAAACTAAACAAAACCGCAAGTCTCAAGGCATCAGACTTCATTTGGTAAAGAGAAATTACAAAAATCATAAATGGAGGAAATGTTGCAAATGTAAAGGACACAACGTGTACGAATAATGTCGTTACCATTCTCTTATCACAATAATGTTTAAAATGCTTCGAACGTAACGTAGACGTTTGCTTGTCATCTCTGGCGTAGAGCGATAGAAATATTTTCTGGTAAGAAACTTGTAAACGAGTTCACAACTTGAAAGTCTTTCATCTAAATGAGAATTTTCTATTTGTTAGTTCATAAGGAAAAGTAGTAAATTATCCTATTTAGGCACTGCATATTATATTTTAGTAGAATCATGCCAATATTCAATTGCAAATGTTTAAATTTGATTGGATATTCCACTTGCTGCCTATTTTTTCATTAGATACCGAGTAGCCAAAAAACATGGCTGTTAAACTTGCCGTTTTGCGTTTTATTTAGGTTTCTAACAATAAACTCTATTGTTTTCATCAGGAAGCTGCTATAGAGAAGACTGAAGTGCCACTAAATATACGTTTAAATATCTTGAGATGAAATAAACAAAAGTCAATTAAAATATCTAATATACACCGGGCAACAGTGGTATGCTTTCTAATACAAACAATGTCAACAATAATAAATGTACAAAACAAAAATAATAATGGAAAACTATAACAACCCTTAATTTTTTATGAATACTAGTTTAATTCTACTACAACAATTAGAGTATTTGTTAAGCACAAATTTTTTAGTATATAATATTATAATAAATGTAATTTACTGCGGCGCATTTGCTTTTTGCTATACATGGGCTACATTATTTGCAGTGACTTTTAACAATATTATGTTGTCCATTATTTAATGATACAACCTGCATTAAGTCATATAAAATCAACTCATACAAACTGCATCTAATCCTATTTACAATTGTTTATACCATGTGGTGCGACTTTCATTCAGGAAACAACCAATGCAATCGAGCACAACCACTCTGGAGACAAAAATGTCCAACATTTAAATGTTTCTATTGAAACGAAAGAGCTCATGATATAAGTGTTGATAAAGACAAAATACTTAAATTAGAACATTCATCGATTTATCTTATTACCTTAGCGCAGCATATATTGCCATCAGGACACAAGTTAAAAATTGATGCCCGCTCATTTTAATAAATTAACAAATAAGACAGCTATACGACAAAAATTAACTTTTGATTAAAAAAAGGTTTAGAGACTGGCGTCTGAAGCCCTCCCCCTTCCAAGATGAGCGCTAAAGGCAGTTGAGTATTATTCCCTGGAAAGTTGTGTAGATAAAGTTGAAGAGAATGCAAATGTACCAACTGACCCCTAAAAAATGATGGTACATAGCCAATGGGTATATATTTCTAATTAGAATCCGGGCAAAAATGTAATGTTCAACTTTCCTTCTTTTTTTTCTGCCAATCTTTGTGTTTATTTAATGTATGTAAAACAATTAAATGTATTCAATATTTACAACTACCAAGAATTAAATGATAATTTTTGCCACGCTGTTTTTCACACTGCGAGTAGTGAATTTATTCCTCTTTTCATTCTCAAACTTTTTTCCTATGGGTTTCCTCTTTTACCTCTACCTCACCTTCACTCTTTTTCTTGTGTCGGCTTGCAGCATTTGTAAAATCTTTTTTCTTAGTGTAAGATTACCTTAGATTAAAAAGTTTTAATCCCACAGCTCTCATTATACATTTTGTTCTTAATTCCTCGTTTTTTTTATGCTGTACAGTGCTCCAGCAGTCTTTCAAAGCATGCAAGCATTTCTGTTTTCGTGATTGATCATGTTTTTCTCACTTTGATCATGTTTTTCTTGCTAAAATAAGAGTATGACAATAATAAGCTACGTTATATTTGCACCCAATACAACACTTTACACAAATATATTTTTGGGTGCTTAGTGCATCGCTCAGTAACAACAAGAACCCAATAAGTATTAGGTGTAGCTATGTGGCAAAGAAATATCCAAAACGAAGTCAATAATTTCGCGTAAATGTTTAAACCTGTTGGAACCATTGCATTTAAGAATTTTCTAAAGTTCTCGGCAAAATATAAGCCCATGTTGGGCATATTTTAATAGAATTTTTTCTTTTTTGACCTCTACGGAGTTGTGGTAAAACATGTTCTTCATTAAATATGCAACAAAGTATATCGTCAATTAAAAAGATGGCTTAGTCTGTTTGATGTTTATGCATTTCCGTCATACTTTGGCATGTTCTATTGTGCATATTTTAATGACAAGTGATTTTAGACAATCAAACAAACATATTGGAAAAGGTTTTTTTTCGTTACATATTGTATTTTTGCAGTGACGTACTTTTTGATGCTATGCACTGTTTCCTTACCATTTATTGAAAAGCGTTTGTGGTCTTTGCGTTTGTTGTGCGTTTGTGAACAAACAAATGATGTCGACGATAACAAATCGTAAGATTCTAAGATCCTCTCCAAACTTTCATCACCTCCTTTATATTTTGCCAGCAAATAATGCTCTTGTTGTCCAACACTACTGAAATATGTACTGAAGAATTCAATTTCCTTGTTCCAAATATCTGTCGCAGTAAGGTCAAATGTTGAGTTCGTATCACTCGCCATTATTCCGCTTTTAACAGTAAATTAAACAGGCGAGGACCATTGATGAACGAATAAATTGGAAATTCAGGGCTCTGACATGCGTAAACTATCTACATAACAATCCCTCTTCAATTTTCAACCTGGTTTTCAAACCTCACTTGACATCAAATGTAAAATCTGCCAAATTGCACACGTTTGCCATTTTTAAGTTGTCGTCATTACACTAACACCCATAATTTTCAAACTGCAGTTGTCTCTTGAAGAAAACCTACAAGTTTAGCTTCCTTCTTGAGCGTTCACGAGCCACATTTTTAAATAAATGAACAGCTCTTTAGTTTGACAGCATGCAGTCAAAAGAAAACCAGGTTTAAAAATATAAATAAAAGCATGCTGTTTCATTAGTAGTTTAATTTTCATGCCTGGAATGACATACATACATACTTTTATACACACATACACACATATATTTCCACGTTTAAAAAGAGAGACAAACTTTTTTCCTCGATTTGGATGTCGAAATTTGAGATAACTGTTTTACAATAGGTATTGTATCGTTTAGCGTTGATTCCGTTAAGTAATTTTTCAATGTTACTGCCAGGTGAGAATGAATATTGCAACCACAATGTGTTTTTTTTGTGATTTATATTTTTACACTTATGATGCGAGGCTTTAATGTTCTAGCTTAACTAGGTGCAGTTATACCACACGGATAACGTACCTGAAACTGTACTTAAACGTAAGTGCATTTGTGTAACTAGTAATGTCAAGTGCGTGGTTTTAATTACGCGTATGTTTAAAACTACGATTGGCTATTTCCTCTGATTTTTGTGATTAATTCTAGACAAAATATTTGCACTCTTTATGTACGTCATTATACAATAGTATGGACGTGTATAACCCGACTAAATGTAAATGACATATCTATAAAGGTTTTTATTGATAAAACAATTTCCACAAATACATGTTAAGATTATGGGTTACGAACATTTTACAAATTTTGAACGATATCTTAATACGAGATGTAAAAACAGTAATATTAATAACTAAATATTTTGCTGCGTACGTTTGCTAATGTAATTTTGGCAAAGCTTCTTTAAAATATTTCATGAGTTGGTTGAACCTGCGTCCCGTGTCGCATGTTGCATAATCAAAGAGATGTATTAACATTTAATTATTGTTCTTTCGCTATGTGAGTTTTAAATCTACTATTCTAACTGGTGGATGTTTGCAGGCTCAGCCTCCCTCTCCGCCCGTGGTAAATCGAATCCCTGGAAATTGGCCTTTAGATGCATTGATAATTAAATGAAGTACCGCAAAAAACAATATGGCGACGAACACAAATGGTCTTGAGCATTAAATGTAAAGTTTGAATAATATGGTGTGTGCAGTATGCTGTTGGTTTTTGACGTACTTCAAACTAAATGCGAAGAAAGTAAGTCCTGGAAGTTTAGCTCACCAAACTTGCTGTAGTTTGCAGATATGACATCTTTTAATATCATTTTAATTATCAATTGTTATCAATGTTATGTGGCACTCCACATTCCAGTATCAGAGTGGCACTGTGGCAGTGCACTGCTGTAGTTGAGATGCCAGCATATAATAAATGGTCATACAGTGGAGTGCCCTAAAATATTTGTTTACGTAATGAGTTTGGCTAGTGTTCTCCTTGAAAACTTTGACATTAATGACATTGACATATAGAATTTTTGAGGCGTTCTATCAATCTTAGGCTCTGGGCATTAAACAGCCAGACATGGGCAGTCGATTTGACTGCTATTACATGTAAATTTTGCCATAGTTTCTTTAGGTTTTTACAGTTTCTGCTTTTCTTTTTTTTAATTCACTCAAATTGATTCTCCAGTCATTGATCTTATAAATGTTTTCTTCCAATGTAGTCAAACACCGATATATATTAATTTGAAATGTAATTGCTACATTAAAGGGAGCATTAAATTATTACTTTACTTGAACCTATTACCACGCATATATTTTTGCTCAATCTGCAACAAGATTATTCTTTTTCCGATTTATCGGTGTTTGTTGATTATGAAAGAAGTTTTTATAGAAGTCACTGTTTACTCCATTATAAAAAAGACACGTGTTAATGAAATTGTTGCAGTAACTTGTCTTTTTTTCATTTTCGTAAAGTTTACCCATTGATATAATAATTTTGGAGTCAGATGAATAAACAGAACGACGCATTTAAAATGTTTATCTTCGCTCATGGAATGCACGAGGGTTTTCGAAATTGATCCCCTTAACCATGATTGTATTTGTCAAAGAAGGTCGCGCTCTTGCTAAGGGCCAGTTTATATATATATGAAGACGGGAAGGAAACTTGGCGTTTGCCGAGACGGGAAGTATTTTATCTCTCGCTTTTATTTCTTCTCGGAGAAAAAAGGAAATATAGAGGATTAAAGTAATGCAGCATGTCTTTTCCTCCAAACTTTACTTGGCAATTTTTTTGAAAAGTTTGCACGAATTTCGTCCAGTAATTGTTGTCATATGACAACACTGCCATATAAACGGTTAACTTAATCAAAAGCCATCGTCTTTGCCACGTACATCGACCGAGAAGGTCAATCAATCTTACGTCCCGCATAAAGGACGGTAGCGGCAATCGGGTACATTAATAATGTTGAGAGGTATGCAATCAACTAAAGATACGTGTGGCAGGGAGGGGTTTTTTTCTTAATCGGATATTGCCAAAGCTGCAGCCGTGCTTAATCTTCGAAAGTACCTAGTATAAATGTTCGAAAGAAAGTTTAGGCCGATATTTTGTCATCTCTCCCCTATATTCTGTAATAGCTCCTATGTGAACAGGCCGAAAAATGTTCTTTCATTTAACACGCAACGGAATGTAAGGAAAAAAGAAAATGCCCTCTTTCCGTTACATCTTTTGTACTGTATGATATTTTTTAACGCTTCTGAAATCTGTTACACAGACGTTTAAAGGAGTTTTTTCAGGCTGTCAAATGTAAATGCAATTTCAGCTTATTGAGCTGCTCGAGTTTATTTGCTGGACATGCTTTATACTTCAACAATCCTCGTATGTTTTGATAGAAAATTGTCAATGTTTTTGCAGCTTTGTACACCAAACTGCGATCGCTGACAGTTCTATTTTTTGTAAAAAAAAATGTGATTCAATTCTAATAATACCTATAACTTTAGACAGTTATGAAGCCCAAACCACACATTGTTGAGCTCTCAAAAATAGCTGGTTTATAAGGACGACGTTGATTATTGCATAAGTGGCAGGGGTCTTTATGTAACATTATTTACAGTAACGCTTGGTATAAATCGGGAGGGGAAACCCTCAGCAAGTGCAGCATTTTTTCAAGTATTTTCAAGAGTACAGATAACACTTAGGAAACACAACCATTGGCAAGGTTTACTGAAGACAATCGATTTTAACGATTGTATTTAAATTCTTTATTGGAGAGTTGTTAGAACATAAAGTTAATACTTACTAAATACAAAATTAAATACTAAATTTATTTTATCAAAAAGCAATCTGCGACTTCGAGCTCATTAAAACAAAATTTGTTTTTTAAAAAGAGCAAATACCATGGAAAATGGTCAAAATAATAACCTAATTGTTCTTTTAAGAACTGTTTAAAACCAGGACACAAACCCAACAGTTTCTAAAAGAACTGTTTCAAAGTTAAAAGGCACTTAAAAAACAGTCCTTTGCAATTGTTGGGTTAGTGTTCTTGTTTTAAACAGCTCTTTTAGAATTGTTCAGTAAGTGTTCTTGTTAAAAACCGTTCTTTTAGAATTGCTGGGTTAGTGTTCTTGTTAAAAACAGTTCTTTTAGAATTGTTGAGTAAGTGTTCTTGTTTTAAACTTCTCCTTTAAGTACTATTAGGTTATTAATTTTACTATTTCCTATGGAATTTGCTCTTTAAAACTATTTTTAAACTTGTCACCACGACAAAGTCCTTATTTTATCATTAAAACAACTGTATTTAAGTAGAAGCTCTCGATTATTTAAACCATGAAAACTTTCCAATATTCGACCAAGAAAAGAGAAACATATGTCGTTATAGTGGGGGCTGAAGGCTTGTCATCATAGTTTGAGGATTCGTGTTCTGTTGGGTTTCTGCTTCGGGATGTCTTCCTTTCCAAAAATAGATAATCTTCACCATTGCTCTCTTGTAGTTTTTTAGTCGAAAAAGCCAGAGTATTGGTAAAAACACAAACGGCGATGAGAATATAGGTAAACTAAATAAAGTTGCGAGGGAAAAAGCATCAGACATCTTCTTATTAAGAAAAATTATAGCCAGTACAGACGCAGGAAGTGTTGTTAAAATAAAAAACACAACATGTATGAGTAGCGTCATTACCATCCTCTGATTACGGTAGTCTCTAGAATGCTCCCTGTAAACTGAGTGTCTCCGACGTAAGGCGAACGTCAAATTGTTGTTCCTTGCGTACAGCGATCGAAATATTTTGTGGTAGAGAATCGCGAATATTATCGATAACAACACGAGTAAAACGCCTAACACTGTCATGATCACTTTAGAAAAATCTTGTTGCTTGCCCTCGGGCAAAACGCAAACGGGAATGACGATAACAACGAATGTTCCAAGTGCAGCCAGTGCAAGGCTTTGCACCAAATATCTTCGAATTTTTGGAGCTACTATCCTGTATCGCACAGGAATAACAATCGCGCCGTAAGTATTAATTATGTGTAAGAAATTACCCAAAGTGCATAAAAACAAGGAAGAAACATTCGCATGAAGAAATAACTCGGGAGGAAGCTCTTCATTCGAAAATTGCCATAAGCTCTCAACGAACAACGCACAAATTAAACCTAGGTTTGTGATAGAGTTAAAGGCCAATAAGATTGCTGTAATGGTTCGAAGTTGCTTGAAAGGGTCTTTGATAATGACAAAAAGTAAGGTGACGTTTGCCAAAATACCTATGAAGGACAAAATTACCATGAAAGTTGTCACAATATTCTGTTCAACACTATATCTTGACGATAATTGAATGGTGCCGAATACGGTTGTGAACGTTGGTGATTCCTTCGCATTTTCTGCGGTAAGATTCATTTCATACGATCACACTCCTCTGCAGTGAAAATTTACGATTGTATCATCTTTCTCCGTTTTCCAAATTAGGATTCATTAGCTGCCCGATTCTTCTTCAACTGTTTCTATCATGTACTTTAATTTATGCTTTCTAGTTGGTTTATCCAAATTCAATACCTTTTTACGTGGTTATATATGAAGATCCTCGATTGGTATTGAGTAGGATGTAGGCCAATTTAAGCTTTAGAAGGTTTAATTTCAAAGTTAACCTCTGGTATGCACAGATCACAAGTAGGTGCTATATATCAATGATGTTATGTTACTTATAAATAATGTTTATAAATGTTAATTTATATACACTGACGTTTCGTGATTATATCCGGAGCGTGGACGGATTCCGGACGAAGTATTGACGTATTTTAAACGATAGCTACAATATAGATAACCGCACCTTATGAACTTAGTCACGTATAATGTCGAAATAACTTTGCATAAGAAAAACAACGAAAGAACTTCACGAAAGTTAATTAGTTGATCCGCTATTTTGGGATGCGAGGTTGGCAAGTCTTTATTATATGCAATTATGTACAGGTACAAAACATTGATGCTACCGAATAGATTACATAAAAGATATCTTCACAAATTATGTTGAGTTTCTTTATCAATCCTTCATTAGACAATTTGAATGTTATTTTGTATAAAGAAAAATATCAAAGCGTATTTACATTCCTAGAGTGTTTACAAAAAAAGTTTGTTTGACAGTTAGTCATTGATATTGACATCGAACTGTTTAGCTGTTTCCAAGGTGATCCCCTCCTTTCTCAGGGGAAGTATACATAATTAAGATGTACAACTTTAGCAATAAATAGACTCGTACAATTATTATAACCGAATACTATTTTATCTTTTGCAGTTTTGGTATATTTCTTAACATATTCTCTTCGAGACTTCTGCTTGCTAAAACTTCATCAATTTTTCCTAACCTGTGAGACGTCTCATCGAGGCCTTAGAGTTGTGCGGGCATTTTGACGTTCATCTACTCACGAATGTAGTGTAGCTCGTCATATGTTCTCTCGATAGCCCAACCTTCACACTTGAGGCCTTTCATTGACTGTCGTAGATCATTATCATTTTGACGCTTGAAGTGCACATATTTCGATCTCAGTGAAACCAAATTTCATTATCTTGGAAAATATGGTGATAGATGTATAGTAAGTAAATACAAAGTCTGCGTAAGATTACTCAGATTATAACGAATTATTCAGAAAGTGGGTACTATTGATGGAAGACGCTTCGATGCGACATGGCGTACATCATTTAACTTTTAATTAATACAGCACGAAAATTATACGTTAACTGTGTGCTTCTTTCTCTAGTACGCGAGTCAAAAGGAATACAATCCCAGAAACAAGGCAAACTTCTAGCCACTACGTTGGTGGAAAAATATAATTTCCACATTTCAACATATTTTAATTAAGAATGATAAGATCTTGCCTATTTTCTAAAGCTAATTGCTGAAGCAAGAACATAAAATAAGCAATAACAAGTTTAGATTCATTTTTGGTGAAACAGGTAACATAGATAAAACTACAGTGAACTGATGCAAAGAAAGATTCAAAGAATTCTCATCAGTTTGGGAAATAAATCATTGGCGGATTCCAGCATTTGCCTCAAAAAAATCTTAGGAAGGTTTTAGGCTTTCGTCTTGAATGCCAGCCAGCCTATGTGGAAACAAAAGCTTTTTGTTCTTTACAAGTGTGCTAGGGCAACAATCTTTCTGGATTGCGGCAGCATTTTCTGGGGCTGGATATTGTTTTACAAAGCGATCTAGAATATCGCCATATTTACTCTGGCAAGACTCCCAGTCAGTGTTCTCCATGGATTTTGCGGCTTTGTATTCAATTGTCACCTTCAATAACAACTCGACTTCATCGTCGCTCCATATAAATGATTCAGATTTGCTACCCTTGTTTTTTATGGCTTTTCTACCTGAATATGACATGTTTCAACAGTTTCAAATCGAGAATAATAAGAGAAAGCTGGAATTCCTGCGAGCGCAAACAGGCGTAGCGCATGCTCAGTAACAAATATCGCAAGATTTCCGGAATGAATCCGAATACGTATCAATATGAATCCGAATCCGAATCCGCATACGTGTCGACCCCGTCCACACGTATGCGGATTCCTTTGAATCCGTAAAATTTTTTCCGGATACAAAAATATCTCCGTCCACACGTTGAGACTACATAGTATTCGTATTGATTTCGCCCGTTCACACGTATTCGGATTCATTCCGGAAATCTTGCAATATTTGTTACTGAGCATGCGCTACGCCTGTTTGCGCTCGCAGGAATTCCAGCTTTCTCTTATTATTCTCGATTTGAAACTGTTGAAACATGTCATATTCAGGTAGAAAAGCCATAAAAAACAAGGGCAGCAAATCTGAATCATTTATATGGAGCGACGATGAAGTTGAGTTGTTATTGAAGGTGACAATTGAATACGAATCTGAATATGAATCCGAATCCGAATCCGCATACGTGTGGACCCCGTCCACACGTATGTGGATTCCTTTGAATCCGTAAAAATTTTTTTCCGGATACAAAAATATCTCCGTCCACACGTTGAGACTACATAGTATTCGTATTGATTTCGCCCGTCCACACGTATTCGGATTCATTCCGGAAATCTTGCAATATTTGTTACTGAGCATGCGCTACGCCTGTTTGCGCTCGCGGGAATTCCAGCTTTCTCTTATTATTCTCGATTTGAAACTGTTGAAACATGTCATATTCAGGTAGAAAAGCCATAAAAAACAAGGGCAGCAAATCTGAATCATTTATATGGAGCGACGATGAAGTCGAGTTGTTATTGAAGGTGACAATTGAATACAAAGCCGCAAAATCCATGGAGAACACTGACTGGGAGTCTTGCCAGAGTAAATATGGCGATATTCTAGATCGCTTTGTAAAACAATATCCAACCCCAGAAAATGCTGCCGCAATCCAGAAAGATTTCCCGCATACTGAGGAACAGATTTTTCAGGGAATTCTCACTTCAAAACTTAAAATGATTCGCAAGAAATACCGACAGGCCGTGGACTCTGGCCGAAAGAGTGGGCATGGCCGTGTAGTGTTATTGTATTTTGAACTGTGCGAGGATATATGGGGTGGATCTCCTGCAACGAATAAGATTACAGAAGCCAATTTTTTGACGTCATCGTATTAGAAAATATCCGGATTCGACCGTCCACACGTATCTGAAATGTTATCGGATTCAAAAATTTCCACTCTGGAGAGCGGATTCAAAAATATCCAGATTTGCATGCGAATTCGACGTGTGCGTGTGGACGATAGCTGTATCCGAAAAGAAAAATTTTCGGATTCAAATATATCCGCATACGTGTGGACGGGGCCTTATAATGAGTCACATCAGACTGATTTACATTTTCGAAAAAAACTCAAAAATTCTGTTTTCCAAAGCTCTATGTCAAGAAAATAATTTAATTTATACATTCTTATAAATAAGAATATGAAAAGTTTCCCATTGTTTTGTAGGTCGTACTATCGGTGTATATTGTAATAACCATTAACAAGGCTCGTGTATTTCAATCAAATATAATTTCAAACCTGCTCCGACGCACTGCTACCGCTTCAGACTATGGCTACAAATCTGGTATATTTTAAATTTGACGTTCTAAAATGAGTCAGATATATCAATCTTTACACTTACAACAGTTAAACGTGTACATGCTTACTCTCAAACAGGAATCGATTGATTTATTTCAAAGACACTTCAGAGTTTGAGTACAAATTCTTCATTGTTCAACGATGCAAGCATGAAAATTCAAATTTTTTGTAAAACTGTCTGATCTTGACTTGCATTCTGAGTTTGATGATATGCATTCAGTTGAGTTTTTTCTTCAATTTTCTCTCCTCTCCAAAGACATAGAATCTTCAGCATTCCTCTGTTGTAGGTTTTCAGTCGGTATAGCCAAAGTAACGGTAAAAACACCAAGGGTAAATATGACAAAGGAACGCTGAAGAGAGCCGCAAGGCTCAAAGCATCCGAACTCACATGATGAAGAAAAATTAAAAAAATTACGGGGCCAGGGACTGCTGTTAAAGTGAAGAAAACAACGTGTACAAAAAGCGTCATTGCGATCCTCTGATTACGATAGTCCACAGAATGTTTCATGTTAACTGTATACAGCTTTCTCCGACGTAACGTCCACTTTACTTTCTCTCTTTTAGCGTACAGTGATCGAAATATTCTATAGTAAATAATCGCAAATGTAATAGATAACATCACGATCAAAGCACACGTTATTGTAATAACTGCTGTAGCAAGATCTTGTTGCTTGCTCTTTGGTAAAACACTAACAGGTATAACAACAACGAGGAATGTTACCAATGTAGCCAGTGTAAGACTTTGCACCAAATATTTTCGTATTTTTGGTGCTACTATCATGTAACGCACAGGAGCAACAATGGCACCGTAAGTATTAATTGTATGGAAGAGATTACCGAAAATATACAAAAACGACGAAACTATTTTCACGTAAAAAATTAACTCTTGTGGAAGCGTTCCATCAAACCAGTTTACCAAGTTCTCAACAAATGAAACACAAGTCAGGATAAGATTCGTAACGGAGTTGAAGGCCAATAATATTGCTGTAATGGTTCGCAACTGCTTGAACGGGTCTTTGATAATGACGACAAGAAAGAGGCCGTTGACAAGAATACCTATCAGAGACAATATTACCACGAAAGTTTTTACAATATTCTGTACAAGATTGTATCTTGATGATAAAGGAATAAGGTCAAACACGATTATGTCTGTTGTTGAGTCGTTCGCGTTTTCTGTTGTTGAATTCATCTTGAAGTGGTTGTACTCCATCGCAGTGAAAATCTACGATGGGAGGAAGTCTTCGTGTACCTGCTGTATATTTTGTTCGTGATTGGTTTATATGAGTCGAGCACCGTTTGCTTGGACGAAACAATGTGCGAAGTTCTTCAATTGATATAAAGTAAGCTGTAAGCTGATATATATTGCGCTTGGAAATATATAAGGATTATTCAAAATAATGATACTGGGCATGAGGTTCTTTGACGTTAATGATGAGACTTCCGCGGTGTGGGAGACTTAAAGCATATATTGACTTGCTGTTAAGCCCGCCGCACACTGGTGAACTTGGCACGCATATTTGTTATTCGTGACAAGGCTTATGAATAACAAAAGTTATTCAAAACTTCCGCGCACTCTGGAAAATTTTGTCGATCACACTTGTCACGAATAACAAGTGCACGAGGCAAGTACACATGTGTGCGGTTGACTTTAGAAAGTGCAAATTATAAATTTGTGCAACCGCCCCTTAATAAGGTGCCATTTACACGAGCCCGGGTTGACTGTTGACCCGGGCTAGCTCATCAACCCGGGTCAACCCATCTACTAATAAATCATTACTAGCATTTACACGACCGCCGGGTTAGCACGCCAACCCGGGGCACCCTTTGGAAGACCAGGGTTGACTCGGGTTGGCAAAGTATTGAAGCGTGAAAAATTTGTGAAATACTCGTGTAAAGTAGGGTTGAAATTGACCCGGGCTCGTATAAACTGACGATATATCTGAATTTGTCACGTGTCCAATGTTATATTTCTTTAACGCGCAAAGCTGGCATATAAACGACTACACGTGTTACATTCAAATTTGTTTACAAGCTTTGGCGAAACGAACGTATTTTATGATCGTAATAAATGAATACGTAAAATATGGCAGAAAAGTCGAAAGTAAACTTTCAGTGGTCATCAGAGATGGTCGAGCAGTTGATCATTATTATAAAAGATTATAAAACGCAAATGGATTATAAAAAGATTGATTTCAATGCTGATGTTGTGGCGTTGTATTCGAATGTTCGCGAACAAATGGCCTCAGTATTTCACCAAGAATTTTTTGGGCCAATAGATGTGCCTGATGCACCAAAAGAAAAAATGACCAAGGAAAAAGAAAAAGCGTTCAATGCCGAAGTATCAATGGCCAAGTCGCAAATAAAGAAAGGTTACAACAGAATTAAAGAAAAAATCCGTGCTATTAGGAAGGCTTACAATAAAGCTGTTATCAATGGCACTAGATCTGGTTCTGGAAAAGTTGTCCAAGAACACTATGATCAATTGGCTGAAATTTGGAAAGGAAGTCCGGCTACAGAAAAACTTCGTTTTGGCATAAGTTCCAACAGCTGTGAAAGTCTTGGACCAGAAACATCATCCTCTGGATCATTAGGAAATGACAGTTTCAATGATGAATTGAATGCCACGCTCGATACGGATCATGATGAAGAGGAAGATGAAGACAATGATAATGAGCAAGAACAAGGTAGCAACTTATTTATCTTTGTATCAATTATGTAAATATTCTGCAACACATGCATTATTTTATATAGATGTAAATAATTCCAAAAAGAGACCATTGTGCACCAGAAAAATTATTGACAACAAGAGAAAACATCTGGAAAAACCCCTTTCAGCTGCCAAAAGAGATGAAGTTCTACTGCGGGCAGCAAGGGAGGATATAGAACGAAAAAAAAAGCAGATGGAACATATGCAGGAAAGTCAGAAGGCTTTAGTAGACATGGCCAAATCTATGTCAGCATCCCTTGACAGCTTGGGGAAAAGTGTCAGTGATGGTCTTGGTATGTTGGCTATGGCTCTTAATCCAAATGCCTTTCAAAATGCATCATTTGGCAGCATTCCACACACACCTCCACCTATGCCGGGATTCTATCAGTCACCTCATGGTATTGGATCAACTATTGCTCAACCTCATGGTCTATATCCCAATCATACCACAGGTTTTCCTCATAGAGGTTACTGTGACACAAATGATGTTCAAAGTTATGGCTCATTTATTGAACATGAAAGGTGTGGCTCAAGTGACTCAAATGGCTCCACAAATTTTGGAAAAAATTAAGAAACAATTATAATTGTAAAGAACAATGACATGACTGTTATTTACACACTTTATTTTCTTTTTATATTGTTTCCACTTAACTTTAAATTACTAGTCGGTTACCTCTTTTGATCCCTAATTACACATTAAACATATGTTCTTTAAAATAGTTTGTTATGGTTGTGCGTATTGCAGAACCTGTTGCTGTATTGTATGTTAGTGACCTATCAGGAGTGGCATGGTGCAAACAACATTGGTCAACAACATTCAACTGTATTTGATGTTCAACTCCTTCACCAATTATCTTAGCTCCTTTTACTTCACAAAAATTGTGCAATACAAAACAAGCATGAATTAAAGATGGTACATCACTTAACTTTACTTTTATTGGTCGATTTAGAATTTGCCATCTTGCTTTTAGCCGACCAAATGCACACTCAATTTGATTGCGTCCACCTCTCAATATTTGGTTGAATATAGCTTTTTCATTGAAGGCATTTTCAGCATATTCCTTCATTACATTGGGCAAAAGGGGGTATGCAGGGTCCCTAAGGACAAGTGGAGGGATTCGATCTGTGCCAGGAAGAACTGCACGGTACACCATAGGTAGGGTCTTCTCAACAAACATCTTGTTTAAGTTAGAGTTTGCAAACACTCGAGCATCATGAACACTTCCTGGCCAGTTAATATCCACATCAAGAAATAAACCTCTGTAGTCACAAAGGGCTTGGATATTGAGACTATATTTCATCTTGTAACAAAAATAGTCTTGACTATTTTCTGTTGGTTGTCGTAAAGGAATATGGGTGCCATCTAAACAGCCAAATGCTTGGGGAAGCCCAAAACGTGTTTCAAACTTTGAGATGAGTGTTTTCATTTCATCAACTGTTGATGGTAATCTCAGATACTTCGGGGCAACTACTTTGTTTATATAGAAACAAACTGCTTTCACAGTTCTTGACAAGCAAGGCAGTGACACACCAAAATTGTTGCAGGTCATTCGGTACAATCCTTGATCTTTCAGGTAATACAATGTCATGGCAACCTTTTTTTCGACACAAATAACATCTGCACGAAAATTTCCTTGTTTTACCTCTAGATAGGGCCTTAACATCTCAACTAGTTCCATAAACTGCTCTCTGTTCATTCGTAAATTCAAATTCCATTCGTCTTCTATTAGTCGTCCACTCCACAAATTTTCCCACCAGCGATCTGTTCTGCCAGGATTAACCCATCTACGACGTCTTCTCCGAATAGTTCTTTTCTTTAAGTGCTTTAACAGGCGTACACTTTTCATCGTATCAAATAAAAGCATGTTTTGAGAAGCAGCTATTTGCTGCTGCTGAAGAATAATGAATAATAACATGACCCCATACATTCTTACTATAGCTGACAGCAGAAGTAAAACAACAAAGGTGGATATTATTATTTTTTTCCGTCGCTCATTTGGATCCATGCTGTGATTGTTTTCCTCCTTGATCAATCTCGCTTCGCGCCAAATAAATATGAATAAAATAAGCATAAATTACTGCATCAACCCGGGTTGGCAAAAGCTGACCCGGGTTGGCTAAAATTGTCCTCAACCCGGGTCCATGTAAACGCACTCGTAAAATCATTCCCTCTTGCGCATTGACCCGGGTTGCTTTTCAACCCGGGCTCGTGTAAATGGCGCCTAAGATACGAAAATACATAAGATACAAAAAAATATAATGAAAGATTTCGTTAAAAGATCACATGAATGAAATTGCTAAATTAACTGGTACGGTTAAATCGGGACGATTTTGCAGACAATAAGAAAGTGTTCATTATATTTAGACTTTATTCTAAAATTAATAAACTAATTATTCATTTAATCAGACAATTTTTCTTTGGCGAGAAACGTTTGTATAAATAACAAACAAACCTAATATTACTTTATTTAACATATTTATTTGAGACGCCGTGTGAAGAAAGTGTTGGGCTCATATTAGTTTTTAAATTGTATAATCTGCACACAAAGAATCGTTAATAAATGTATACATACATAAACTTTGAATGCTATTTGAAGACCTAAAACTCTTTTTGCAATCCTCCCATATTTTGATTCAGTGGCAGATCTAGGGTTAGTCAAAATTAATTACTGCAGCACATTTTGGCATATGCTTCCATTTCTAATCTCCTTAGATGCATACCATTGGTGAAATTATATTCTTTAGCAATTCAAAACCAAAAGTGTTTTTTGAAAGTACTTAGAATTTAAAATTAAGGAGCTATAATTTATCTTGACTAACGCTGGATCTGCTACTGGTTTGATTAAGATCCACTGTCATTTCGCAGCCTAATAACTCCACATTTTTTTGCGAGGAGAGAGATTTACTCCAATGTTTATTATTGCGAGGAGAGAGATCTACAGACATGCCCCAATGTTTAAATTAACTGTTGTGAATACTCAAACCATATATGTATATTCAAACGTGGTGGGTAATTTGCGTTTCCTGCTGTCGAATATATTGCAATTTTTCGTGTAAATAACGAGCTTTAATTCCCTAACCATACATGCCGCACGTACACACTACAATATACACTTTTGAAAGAACAGAGGTAACTTTTTATGAACAAATACAATCGCTAGTATGGTACTTCAAAACGTATTATTAACAGTGATATTGTGTACTGCTGTGTGCAAAACGTGTACCCGATTAAATTAGGCAAACTTTGAGAGTCAATTGTATATTATAAACAGCTCCTTACTTTTACGAAAAGCCTTCATTGTTCTGCCAAGGCGTGAATAATTAAATTCTTTGTACAGCTAGCTTATCGTGACTTGCCATCGAACTTTGATTATTTGTGATCAATTGATTTTCTACTTCGGTTTCTCTTCCTTTCCAGAAATATAAAATCCTCATCATTGCTCTGTTGTAGGTTTTCAGCCGGACAAGCCTGAGTATCGGTTAAAACACCAACGGTAAATGCAGTATAGGAAAACTAAACAAAACCGCAAGGCTCAATGCATCAGACTTCATTTGGTAAAGAGAAATTACATAAATTATAAATGGAGGAAATGTTGCAAATGTAAAAGACACAACGTGTACAAATAGTGTCGTTACCATTCTCTTATCACAATAATGTTTAAAATGCTTCGAACGTAACGTAGACGTTTGCTTGTCATCTCTGGCGTAGAGCGATCGAAATATTTTCTGTTAAGAAACTTATAAACGAGTTCACAACTTGAAAGTTTTTCATCTAAATGAGAATTTTCTACTTGTTAGTTCATAAGGAAAAGTAGTAAATTATCCTATTTAGGCACTGCATATTACATTTTAGTAGAATCATGCTAATATTCTATTGCAAATGCTTAAATTTGATTGATATTCCACTTGCTGCCTATTTTTTCATTAGATTCCGAGTAGCCAAAAACATGGCTGTTAAACCTGCCGTTTTGCGTTGTATTTAGGTTTCTAAACTCTATTTTTTTCATCAGGAAACTGCTATAGAGAAGACTGAAGTGCCACTTAATACACGTTAAAATATCTTGAGATGAAATGAACAAAAGTCAATTAAAATATCTGATATACACTGGGCAACAGTGGTTCTCTTTCTAATATAAACAATGTCAACAATAATAAATGCATAAAACAAAAATAATGATAGACAACTATAACAACCCTTAATTTCTTTATAAATACTAGTTTGATTCTACTAAAACAATTAGAGTATTTGCTAAGCACAAATTTTTTAGTTTATAATATTATAATAAATATATTTTACTGCGGCGCATTTGCTTTTTGTTATACATGGGCTACATTATTTGCAGTGACTTTTAACAATAATATGTTGTCCATTATTTAATGATACAATTTGCATTAAGTCATATAAAATCAACTCATACAAACTGCATCAAATCCTATTTACAATTGTTTATACCATGTGGTGCGACTTTCATTCAGGAAACAACCAATGCATTCGAGCACAACCACTGTATAGACATAAATGTCCAACATTTAAATGTGTCTATTGAAACGAAAGAGCTCATGATCTAAGTGTTGATAAAGACAAAATATTTGAATTAGAACATTCATCGATTTATGTTATTACATTAGCGCAGCATATATTGCCATCAGGACACAAGTTAAAAATTGTTGCCCGCTCATTTTAATAAAATAACAAATAAGACAGCTATACGACAAAAATTAACTTTTGATTAAAGAAAGATTTAGAAACTCTCGAACTTAGTTGAAAAAACCCCTTCATTTAGACTGACTCGAGGATAGCAAATCTCAATATTTTCTTAGAGAGAAAACATTAAGGGTATAATATTTACTTGATGAAAAAATTAGATGTGATCGAGGATTTACAATTCAAAGTTGCGTCATATTGTTTTGCTTTTTCACGCTCTACGCTTACCTTTACACTTAAGAAAACCTAGCACTTAGCCTTTTAGCTACCTTTACGGTATTAAAACTTTGTGCATGTGACTTTCCAAGAAATAAATGGTATGAAAAGGGACTTTCTAACACGCAGAAAACTAATAAGTATACTGAACTTTGGAGAAAACTGATCTTTCCTTTCCTGTGATCACGTCTCCTTATATTTCCAAAAAGCAATGGCGTAACACAACTGCTGGCGGCCCTCCATCTAATAGTTATTGGTGGTCTCTGTGTTCCATTTCTACTAGAGAATATGTCGAATAATCGTAATCACATGAATTGACTTCACGTAGATGCATAGGGGTATCTGGCGTCTGAAGCGCTCCCCCTTCCAAGAAAAAAGGTTTGAGCGCTAAAGGCAGTTGGGTATTATTCACTGGAAAGTTGCGTGGATAAAGTTGAAAAGATTGCAAATGTACCAACTGACCCCTAAAAAATGATGGTACATACGCCAATGGGTGTATATTTTTAATTAGAATCCGGGCAAAAATGTAATGTTCAATTTTCCTACTTTTTTTTCTGCCAATATTTGTGTTTATTTAATGTGTGTAAAACAATTAGATGTATTCAATATTTACAACTATCAAGAATTAAATGATAATTTTTGCCACGCTGTTTTTCACACTGCGAGTAGTGAATTTATTCCTCGCTTCATTCTCAAACTTTTTTCCTATGGTTTTCCTCCTTTACCTCTACCTCGCCTTCAATTTTTTTCTTTTGTTGGCTTGCAGCATTTTTAAAATCTTTTTTCTTAGTGTAAAATTACCTTAGATTAAAAAGTTTTAATCCCACAGCTCTCATTACACATTTTGTTCTTAATTCCTCGTTTTTTTATGCTGTACAGTGCTCCAGCAGTCTTTCAAAGCATGCAAGCATTTCTGTTTTCGTGATTGATCATGTTTTTCTTGCTTTGATCATGTTTTTCTTGCTAAAATAAGAGTATGACAGTAATAAGCTACGTTATATTTGCACCCAAAACAACGCTTTACACAAATATATTTTTGGGTGCTTAGTGCATCGCTCAGTAACAACAAGAACCCAATAAGTATTAGGTGTAGCTATGTGGCAAAGAAATATCCAAAACGAAGTCAATAATTTCGCGTAAATGTTTAAACCTGTTGGAACCTTTGCATTTAAGAATTTTCTAAAGTTCTCGGCAAAATATAAGCCCATGCTGGGCATATTTTAATAGAATTTTTTTTTTTTTGACCTCTACGGAGTTGTGGTAAAACATGTTCTTCATTAAATATGCAACAAAGTATATATCGTCAATTAAACAGATGGTTTAGTCTGTTTGATGTTTATGCATTTCCGTCATACTTTGACATGTTCTGTTGTGCATATTTTAAGGAGAAGTGATTATAAACAATCAAACAAACATATTGGAAAAGGTTTTATACTTTTTCGCACGAATTTAACAATGTTGGAACATGGGTTATAGCAAAGCAAATATTTAAGGTCAAATAATACCATTAATAGAGCATTATTTGTGCAGTATTATGGCATTGCAAACAAAATATTAAATAATATTTCACAAAGTTAACCCTTGTAAAGTCAATGACATCACGACTTTGAAAATTTATAGCATTAGTATTTGTTGTAGCTATGAACAAAGAAAATAATTTTATCCAAATATTCCATTCGATAAATGTCATATGCTCTCAACAAGCAAAGCACATGTTTGTCTATGTGTTCCGTGCATCTAAAAGAACATATGTTTTGGCAGAAATAGTTGAAGATCAATATTATTGAAAATGCTGCAAATATCTAAATCCGTCTTATATAATGAGTTAAACAAGAAAAGCTGGTTTTGAAAAAAATATATAATACACTGTAAGCGTCACAAAGATTAATCTTCTAGGATTTTATAATATAGCTACAAAGTGTGTGTAGAAAAAACTCGTATATTTGTATAGCTATGAATTTTGTTTAAGACATCACAAAAGCTGTACGGAAAACTAGAAAAATTGCATGCAAAATTTTGACTTAATTGTTGATTCTCTCAATTGTTGAAACAATGAAAGGACTCCACCATTTATTGTAAGTGCATTTAATAACAGACTATTTTCTTCCCCATCAAAGTATTAAGTGTTTTGGTAGCTAATGTCTTATGTTATTAAACATTTTCAGACACTGGTGCCGTTAATGTATGCTACAGCTCTCACAGATGAGAAGTATGCTGGGCAAGCTTCTCGTCAAATGGACAAAGACGAAAGACCACCTCTACCGTACCATGGAGGGACTGTTGTGTGAATAAAAACATGGTTTTTGAATTTATAAATAAAGATATGTCCCTCCGTCGGCGAAACAAGTCATAAAAATGTCCTGGTTTGTTTCAAGTGTTTGTTTAATTTACGAGTTACAGACCCTGAAAAACAGCAGAAAGTTAATATTTTCATTAGGTATAACATTTTTCACTACATGCTATACCATGAAAGGTGCCAAATTAAAAATAAGACTCAGGGAGTAACTCCAAGGTTTCTTATTTAACCATATCATTTATTGGTGTTCGTATTCAATAAAACGTTGCTTCTGCCGTTCGAAGATGTATATTTAAAGCTCAATGTAAAGTGAAAGTTTGCTTATTTTAGTGGGTGGTCGGCCATCTTGAAATGAACAACCAAATTATTTAGATTTCTTGTGTGACGTCGCAACAAACAGACTTTGTCGCAAATGAATATTGTTTTTATAGCAACTTGACAAGTATTCTTATATAATACCCAAAACTTAGTAGTTTTCACTGCTGTTGCAGCACTCATAATGGAAAATATAAACAAAGATCTTTGGCGTGGCTTATATGTTCGAGCCTATGCAGATGAAATTGTAGAGAGTAAGAATTCTGACTCAGAAAGTTCTTTGTCAAGCAAAGTTTATTGTCATAAAGACAACTAAGGAGTTTGAAGCCATGCATAATTGCCATAAATCATCACTAGTTTGGTGTTAATGTAGCAACTACAACTTGATGGAAAAAACGATGGAATGCTTTTGCTGTAATAAATAAGCTGTTGAATATGACACCAAACTTATATCGGCACAGGATTCAGGGTCGTCTTTCTTAACTGAACTTTCTCCTTTTTATCAAAACATATCGGCAATCGATATCAGCAAAACTTATCATTGAAATAGATGCTTGGCAATATATCAAAGAAAACATTTGTTTATGCACACAAAATATACCGTCGAGTTGCATATCGAAGATGTTTGACATGGATTTTTCATATACTTTGCAAGAAATGCCGAAGGCCATTCCATTGCATATGAGGGAAGCTCTCGAGTCGTCTAACGGACTTTTCACCCATTTCAAGTTTGCAAAATAAATTGAAACTAGATTTACTTAAGATACTTGAGATTTCATGGTTTAACGACTACAACTTTTCATACACTGACGATTCTTATTGCTTCAAAAATATTGGCTTGTAGCACATTTCCCAAAGCCAAGACGTACTACGTGATTAAGTTCGTCATCGGGCAGATATAATAACATTATTATACTTATAAACTTTTTTCTATTTATAGTATTCGCTCTCACGAATATGTTCATACACAAATTTTCTACCATAGTGTAAAAATAGAGCGTGAGCAAGCTCTGATACAACACGTATATTGCACATACATAACCTGTTCTTCTTTACATTTATTTCAAAATGTAAAATATGTGTCAAAGTTGCTTTCTCAACAAATAATTCACCTTGACTTTACAAAAATACTCTTATAAAATAAAGTGTATCTAAGTATGCTTCCCACTTGTGACGTCATGGATCAATCTATGACGACAAGTATATATACAAGCATCACATAATTGTTTTTATCTTTGGCAAGAACACCTGATAGTTTAACCATTGGCAAGAACAGAACTTTATTGAGGGCTCACTGAGTAAATTGTTAGGTAAAGTCTTTTAATGAAATATAACAATTGTATATGTAAAGTGCTAAGCTTTCACATTTTGTATTTCTCATTTCTATGAGTAAAAAGCGTAGCTTTGCTTACAATTTTGACTTTTGAACACTACAATATGGGGGGTTTATACTATTAGAACGGACACTAATTCATGAATATGACTTTCAGTAACCCATGGAGATCATAAACATTGAATTGATGTAAAATCCTATATTCGCAAAGGAGAAAAAGTTAATGCTCTGAACAATTATCTGAAGCTAGCGTTCAATTAAGTTTTTTTATCAGTGTGCTTTTCTTTTAAGAAGCAAGGATCTAAAGTTAATTCTCCTCACATAATGAAGAAAAATGATCTAAATTACACGCGCAAAGAACACAACGTTCCAACAGGGGTGAAACAAGAGCGCCATTACTAAATAATCATTAATTAAAGTGAGAAATATACAAAAACTTGCGTAAATATTTGTCAACAAGTGAAATGCTAATTAGGAATAAGCACAGCTGGTTTTGATACTGCCTTATTTGCAATTTTTGGAATTCTTTGTGGCACGCGTTTTCATACCACTAATAAAATATGTTAAACATCGCATGAATATGAGGATCCACTTCCAAATGATCAAAAAATCTGCTTTTATACACAGCATCTCTCTTTCAAGACGTTAAAAGAAGAATAAATCTTTGTTAGCTGAAGTCACACTATGGTACATACACAGTTTTCCCAAAATTTTTGTTCTTCGTATGTGTGCGGATTCCTTATTTTGATCAATTTCAACAAAGTCCATCCTGTAGTTGGTGCTGGTAATTTTAGCGAAAAATGCAATTCGACCCAACTAAATCAAATAAATTGGCCTAAGAATTTTTCTGATTTTTTCCAAACCACCAAGGCAAGTATCTATAAATTCAAAACTTTTATATGATTTAATCCTTGCTTTCATTTGTGTTGTTGATCGCAAAAAACGTATTGTTGTCATTTTATTCTAAGATCAAATACATATTTTATGAAAAACCGTACCTTTCTTACGTTTTTAAATATCATTTTGCTTTGAAAAGTAATTTAATCAACAATTAAAAGAACTATTTCTTTTCATCATCTACAGTTGAGCAAGGCAAACTCGATATTGAATACGTAAATAGGCTCAGAGTTTTGTCCATGCAGAATGGTCATAACATGCTCTAAATTTTTTAGAATAGAAACATAAGTCGTGGCCAGAGATTTGCCAGGCGGAAAGCGAATTTTCAATATGAACATAATAGCCCAACATAATACTTTTAAAAAAGCCATCACAATAATCAAATAGAGAAGGATTTATTAATTACGTTTCGTCTTTAACTTAAGACATCTTTAGATTAATTGAATTAATATATATACACGAGGTTTTAAATACAAGCATATAATATGGGGTGTTAAATTACATGTGAGAGGAGTAGGAAGTTTAGATGACGGAATCAGTGAGAATGGCGGTATATTAAAGAAGGTGAAGGGGGATTGAGTTGCCTTGGGTGTTAAGAGAGGGTTTAAGTTTGGATATAAGAAGGCTTTCATGAATCATAAGGTCATAATTGTCGGAGGAGGAAGAGAGAATTGAGAAATCATTAAAATCGGCAAGGTGAGATGTATTTCTTATATGAGAAAGAACTGCAGATGGTGGTGGACATAAGGAAGGCTTCCCTGTTAAGGGAGAGATTCCCAAGTGTTCTGATATTCTGGTGTGTAAATGACGCGTGGTTTGACCCACATACGATGCAGAGCAGCATCGACACTGAAATGAGTGTTGTATACTTAACAGGGAAGCCTTCCTTATGTCCACCACCATCTGCAGTTCTTTCTCATATAAGAAATACATCTCACCTTGCCGATTTTAATGATTTCTCAATTCTCTCTTTCTCCTCCGACAATTATGACCTTATGATTCATGAAAGCCTTCTTATATCCAAACTTAAACCCTCTCTTAACATGCAAGGCAACTCAATCCCCCTTCACCTTCTTTAATATACCACCATTCTCACTTATTCCGTCATCTAAACTTCCTACT